CGGCACACCCCTCACACGCTTCGTGGCCCCATAGGGAGTTCCACCGAAGGCCCCAGCGGCCGCGCTCACATGCGTCCCCGCCACCCATCCCGGCACGCCCCTCACAACAACAGGTTTTGTGGCCCCATAGGGAGCTCCACCGAAGGCCCCAGTGGCACCGCCCGCATGCGTCACCACCCGCACCCAATTCGGCACACCCCTCACACGTTTCGTGGCCCCATAGGGAGCTGCACCGAAGGCCCCAGTGGCGGCGCTCACATGCCTCCTCCCCCTCCTCGCCTGTCTCCTTCTCCACGAGGAAGGACGCGGGGCGAGGACCCCACACCTGTGCGAGCGCGTGCGCCCCGCGCAGTCTCCGAATTCTCCAGCCTGGGCCTCGCCGGGCGCGCTGGCGCCCGCGGAGGGCGGACCGCTCCGCGTGGGTGTGTGCCACGGGGCGGGGGGCGCGGTAGACAGGAGAGCAGGAGCATCCTCATTCCTGCCGCCTCCTCCTCCCTCCTCCCTCCCCCTCCCCCCCTCCCTCCCAATCCTCCCTGCCCTCCTCCCTGCTCTCCTCCTCCTCCTCCTCCTCTCCTCCTCCTCATCCTCATCCTCCTCCTCCTCCTCGCATCCTCCTCCTCCTCCTCCTCCTCCTCCTCCTCCTCCTCCTCCTCCTCCTCCTCCTTATTGTGTTTATTATTCTTCATCTTATTCGTACTTTTCGTAGTCAAAGTATTATTGGTAGTATGCTTGGTTTGATTATGCTTACGATCGCGATTATTATTGTTTGTTATTATTATTATTATGTTTCATCCTCGTTCTCTGCTTCCTCCTCCTCGTCCTCGTCCTCGGCCTCCTCCTCCTCCTCCTCCTCCTCCTCCTCCTCCTAGTTGTTGTCATTATCAGTATTATTCATAGCATGTTTCTTCTTATTCTCATTATTATGTGTTGTATTATGCATGTTCTTCCTCGTCCTCCTCCTCCTCGTCCTCGTCCTCGTTCTCCTCCTCCTTGTTCTCCTCCTCTTCCCCTCCTCCTCCTCGTCCGTCCTCGTCGTCCTCGTCCTCGTCCTCCTCCCCCCTCCTCCTCCTCCTCCTCGTTCTCCTACTCCCCTCCTCCTCGGCGTCCTCCTCTTCGTCCTCCTACGTTCTCCTACTCCTCGTCGTCATTCTCCTCCTCCTCCTCCCTCCTCCCCCTCCTCCTCCTTCCCCTATTACTCCTCCTCCTCCTCCTCCTGCTCCTCCTCCTCCTCCTCGTTGTTGTTACTATTTTTCTTCTTCTTCTTCTTCCTCTTCTTCTTCTTCTTCTTCTTCTTCTTCTTCTTCTTCTTCTTATTTTTCTTCTTCTTCTTCTTCTTCGTCTTCTTCTATTTCTTACTACTCCTCCTCCTCCTCCTCCTCCTCCTGCTTCCTCCTCCTCCGCCTCCGCCCTCCTCGTCCTCCCGCCTCTGCCCTCCTCCGCCCTCCTCTCCCTCGTGGTGGTACCCACTCCCCGCCTTCGCTGCCGACACCCCTGGCCAGCACGGGGGCCGCTGCCGACTCCGGGCACGCGGCCCTCAGAGCTTGATGCTCGCACGGCCGGCGAAGATCGCGGCGTCGGCCACAGCCTGCAGGGTGTCCTGGATCAGCGACGGGTTCATGCCGCTCCGGAGCAGCTCCTCTCACGAGAGTCAGCGTTGGAGGCCTGGACATTGGCACCAACACCAACGCAGGGGCTGCCTCCACAGGGGGAGGATGATCCGAGATTCCGTCGTTGGTGGTGATATTTCGGCCACCCTGGCAGCCAGAATATTACCACCATCAGTGAAGAAAATCCCGGTCTCGGTGACACCGAGACCGGGATCTTCTTCCCTCTGTGGAGGCACGCCGCCGATGTCGGTGTTGGTGTCAACCTCGAGGCCTGCGACACTGAGAATTCGTTTTTGACTTTTCGGAGGTGATCCAGATCATCTGGTGGCGGGCGGAAGGGGAGAAGTGCCCCGACAACCGAACCCGCTCGCTCTGGGCAGCCCCACGTACGTCCGCCCGCACCAGCATCGCATACCCCCGTCGGGCCTGCGCTACCGACGAGGTCAGACATCCGAGTGGAGGGAGGGCTGGCGGGCGGGCCCGATAACCGGGGTCATCGCAGGACACTAGCAAACACAATCTCTTGACCGATCCCTATCCCCGCTGGCGTTGCCCTGGCCCGTCTGGCCGACTTGCCCACCGATGCGAGGATAACCCTGTGCCCTCGATGATAATCCCCTCGGGATGGTGTAGTTCAGGTCGGGTCTATGGGGGGTAATTCACTTGCCGAACTTGAAGTTGTCAACTCCACTGCTCGCGCAATCATCCCACCCACCCACCCGCAACTTGGTTTGCAAAACCCATGCGGGACCGAGCACAGATACCGCTCCGGGGCCGTGTTGGAGCCCTCGGGGGCGTCTCAAGAGCGCCCCAAGAAGGCCGGAGAAGCAAGACGGCCGACGACGACGGCGACGACGACGAAGGCGGCAACGACGGCGACGCCGACGTCGACGACGACGAAGACGACGCCGACGCCGACGCCGAGGACGAAGACGACGACGACGTCGCCAACGAAGACGACGACGAGGGAGGAGGGAGGACGATGACGGCGACAACGACGACAACGACGGCAACGACGACAACGAGGGAGGAGGGAGGACGGCGACGACGCGAACGACGAAGGAGGAAGGACGGCGACGCCGACGACGACAACGACGAGGGAGGAGGGAAGACGACGACGACGACGAAACGACGACGACGACGACGACGCGACGAAATAGGAGGGACGACGACGAGACGCCGACGACGGACGACGACGACGACAAGGGAGGAGGAGGAAGGACGACCACGGCGACAACGACGACGGAAACGACCACGACGCCAAAGAGGACGACGACGACGAACACGAGGAAAAACACAGGACGACGTAGGCGACGACGACGACGACGCGGGAGGAGGGAGGACGGCGACGACGACGACGACGACGACGACGCAAGAGCGCGCGCACGCTTTTGTTGAAAATCCGTGTTGCAAATCTGTGCTTTTGTAGGTTTTTCCCAACCCTGTGTGGTTTTGGGTCTCGTTTTGAAGAGACGGTGCCCCGCGTCTCCTTCCTCCTCTGCCCCCTCCTCCCTCCGCCCTCCTCCATTTCGGCACACCCCTCACACGTTTCGTGGCCCCACAGGGAGCTCCACCGAAGGCCCCAGTGGCTGCCGCCCGCATGCGTCCCGCACACCCAATTCGGCACACCCCTCACACGTTTCGTGGCCCCATAGGGAGCTCCACCGAAGGCCCCAGTGGCTGCGCCCGCATGCGCCCCCACCCATTCGGCACACCCCTCACACGTTCGTGGCCCCATAGGGAGCTCCACCGAAGGCCCCAGTGCCGCGCCCGCATGAGTCCCCCACACCAATTTCGCACACCCTCACACGTTCGCGTGGCCACGCATACCCAAGCGGCACACCCCTCACACGCTCGTGCCCCATAGGGAGCTCCACCGAAGGCCCCAGTGCTGCCGCCCGCCGTCCCGCACACCACTCGGCACATCCTCACAGTTCGTGGCCCCTAGGGAGCACCGAAGGCCCACGCACGCCCGCATGCGTCCCGCAACACCCATTTCGCACACCCTCCACGTTTCGGCCCCATAGGGAGCTCCCACCAAGGCCCCAGTGCTGCCGCCCGCATGCGTCCCGCACACCCAATTCGGCACCACCCCTCACACGTTTCGTGGCCCCATAGGGAGCTCCACCGAAGGCCCCAGTGCTGCCGCCCCGCATGCGTCCCGCACACCCATTCGGCACACCCCTCACACGTTTCGTGGCCCCATAGGGAGCTCCACCGAAGGCCCCAGTGCTGCCGCCCGCATGCGTCCCGCACGCCCAATTCGGCACACCCCTCACACGTTTCGTGGCCCCATAGGGAGCTCCACCGAAGGCCCCATGGCTGCCGTCCGCATGCGTCCCGCACACCCATTTCGGCACACCCCTCACACGTTTCGTGGCCCCACTAGGGAGCTCCACCGAAGGCCCCATGTGCTGCCGTCCGCATGCGTCCCGCACACCCATTTCGGCACACCCCTCACACGTTTCGTGGCCCCACAGGGAGCTCCACCGAAGGCCCCAGTGCTGCCGTCCGCATGCGTCCCGCACACCCATTTCGGCACACCCCTCACACGTTTCGTGGCCCCATAGGGAGCTCCACCGAAGGCCCCAGTGCTGCCGCCCGCATGCGTCCCGCACACCCATTTCGGCACACCCCTCACACGTTTCGTGGCCCATAGGGAGCTCCACCGAAGGCCCCAGTGGCGGCGCTCACATGCGCATGCGTCCCGCACACCCACTTCGGCACACCCCTCACACGCTTCGTGGCCCCATAGGGAGCTCCACCGAAGGCCCCAGTGGCGGCGCTCACATGCGTCAGGCACGATAGGGAGCTCCACCGAAGGCCCCAGTGGCACCGCCCGCATGCGTCACCCGCACCCAATTCGGCACACCCCTCACACGTTTCGTGGCCCCATAGGGAGCTGCACCGAAGGCCCCAATGGCGGCGCTCAAATGCGTCCCCGCCACACATCCCAGTACACCCCTCACACGCTTCGTGGCCCCATAGGGAGCTCCACCGACGGCCCCAGTAGCGGCACTTACATGCGTCTCCGCCACCCATCCCGGCCCCCCCCCCGCGTGTTTCGTGGCCCCATAGGGAGCTCCACTGGAGGCCCCAATGGCGGCCCTCACATGCGTTTCCGCCACGCATGTCGGCACGCCCCGCACGTGTTTCATGGCCCCATAGGGAGCTTCACCGAAAGCCCCAGTGGCACCCATCTCGGCACATCCCTCACACGTTCCGTGGTCCTATGGGGAGCTCCACTGAAGATGAAACCCACAGCTGCGGTACTGACAACTGCATATGGTTGGGTTCTTCGCCAGGCTAATTTGGACGCGCGATTTTGAAATCCTTCCGAAACCGATGGGTTTTGAAGGATTTCGGCGTACGCGCGCGACGACGCGCGCGTCTGCACTTCGTCTCATTTTTTGCAGAGGATTCTCGCGACGGCACACGCGCAAGGGCGTTCGACAGATTTCGACATGCGCGCGCGACGCCCGTTTGGTTGCATGTTGTGAAAATCTTGAAAAACCAATGGTTTTCTTAAGATGTCGCAAGAGCTCGCGCGTAAGTTTTTTTACCAAACCAGTGTTACGAAACCGTGTGTTTTTGTATGTTTGTTGGAAACTCGATTGCGAAATCCTTCCGGCACCGAAGGTTTTTGAAGGACTTCGGCATGCGCGCGCGACGACGCGCGCGTGTGCACTTCGTCCCATGTTTTGCAAGGGATTCGTGAAAAAGTGCTATGTTAGAACAAAACAAGTCACCGCATAGTGTTTTTTACAAGGGGACCTCAGGGGGGGGATACGGGTTGACCTGGGACATTGTGATTTCATATTTAGGATGGACATGTGGTCAGAATCATATGTGATTTACATACCCGAAATGGGAGGCGATAACGCCGGGGGGGGAGAGTCTATTCCCTTTTTGGACAGGAGAATATATTCCCAACCCTCCCCTGGTCGGGTTCTCGTTTTGCATCGAGCACTGGGGTCTCCCTTCTTCTCCTCCTTCCGCCCTCTGTTCCCATCTCGCCTGCCTGCACCTGCCTGCTTGCATCCTTCTTGGGGGCCGCGACGTGTGAAACTGTCGCCACTTTCGAGGGTTGCTGGGGGGCTGCATAGTGGGTGCCGACGGCAGATTCACATTAGACCTCGACACACCTTGGAGGGGCTGCGATATGTGAACTTGTCACCACTTTCAATGGCTGCTGGGAGGGCAGCGTGGTGGGTGCCGAGGGTAAATTCACAGTAGACTCGACAGCCCTGGGGGCTGCGATCTTCGACAGTGTCGCCACTTTCGAGGGCTGCTGTCAGGGGCCAGCCTAGTGGGTGCCGACGGCAAGTTCAAATGAGACCTCGACATCCTTGGGGGGCTGCGAATGTTGAAACTGTCGCAGCTTTCGGCGGCTGCTGGGGGGGCCATCATAGCGGGTGCCGACGGCAGTTTCAAATTAGACCTCGAAATCCTTGGGGGTGTGCGAAGTGTGAAACACTTTGGACAGCTGCTGGGGGGGGGGGCAACATAGCGGATGCCGACGACAAATTCAAATTAGACCTCGACGTTCCTGGGGGGCTGCGATCTGCGACGCTGCCGCCACTTTCGAGGGCTGTCGGGGGGGTGGGGGGGCAGCATAATGGGTGCCGACGGCAAACGCAATTCAGACCTCGACATCTTTTTTGGGGGGGCTGCGAAGTGTGAACATGTGTTCAATTTCGAGGTCTGCCGGGGGGGGCGGCAAGATAGTGGGCGACGATGGCAACTTAACATTAAACCTCCACGTCTTCGGGGGGGATCTGCGAAACTGTCGCCATTTTTTAAGGCGGCTGGGGGGCCAGCATAACGGGTGCCGACGGCAGATTCAAGTTCGAGCTCGACATCCCTGGGGGGGGGACTGCGAAGTGTGAAACTGCCGACACTTTCGTGGTTTGCGGGGGCGGGAGGGGGGGAACATTGTGAGTGCCGACGGCAGATTCAAATTAGACCTCGACATCCTTGTGGGGCGGTGCCCTTCTCAATGCAATGCCGGCATGTTGAACCTCTGTTC